GGTTAGATTGCAACAATCAATCGGTTCCGGTATTTCTGTTCAGGAGTACATGCTGTCTTTTTGTACGTAATGACAGGTCCGTGCACTGTTCAATCCTCTTAGGGATAAAAACAATGCAGTACAAATTTCTCAACCTAATGTTGAAGCGCGGGGAACGATTGTGAGACGTGCCTCAATTCCCATGACATCTGGTATGTATTCACTGAAGATTCCCATAGTAACATTTGAGAAAAAAGCGAAATAGAAAACAAGCTCGTTTTCGATAACTTCCTCATTTGGCTAATACAATTATATAAGGTAATCTATCGGGTGCCTTCTTATCCATCTAAGGCTGTTTGTCAATAACATTTGGCAACAGCTAAGGTAGTAGCCATCCGTCTGTTTAACCCACCCCTCTGTTCCCAAAGAAAGGATTCGTTAGGGCACTTCGATTGCCATGGCCACAGAGTCAATTCAGTCACATGACTGGAGCTGACCAGTTCCATGATGCCTTGACCCCTTCGATTGACCCCGTGCTAACCATCTTGTGACACGTCCCTATTCCCAACCACCCACCACTCCCTTTTTGTTTGTAAACCACACATAAAAGCTAATTATATCTACTAATGAAACATCAAACATTATGCAAATGTAATATGCCTATTACCTATTTATATAATTTTATTAGCCAGTTGAGGAAGTTATCGAAAACGAGTTTGTACGCTATTTCGCGTTTTTTCTTAAATATCTGGTAGGCATGCTCGTCTGTGCGTATTTTTTACCTCCCTCTCTAAAGTCATATCGGGTTCTGCTCTGCTGACACTAATACAGTGCGATTGCTCCGTCGTTTCGTCCCTCTCACCCGTGGCCTCCAACAAGTAAATTCCCTCTGACCCTCTTTGCTACTTGATTGGATCAGTTTCCGTGATTTGCGGCACTTGGAGTCCCTCGCCCTAACACGAGACTGTCTGATTACCGGTTTGAACTTTTTGTAATGCTCTTGTAGTCACGTCCAGTCCATCCGTGTGGTGATGGCACTTATGCTGTACAGTCGAAGTTCACTGGGCCTGCTTAAGACTCGCGGTTGTAAACAAGGTGTGGTTTTTCACTCGGGACAAGAACCAAGTCCTTTGTTGCGGCTGGACCATCCAATCAATCGATCGGGTAGGCATAGGAGGAGGATAAGTTCTGAATCCGATGCTGCTCAAGTGGAAAATTCAGAATGAAAAAAGCTCAAGCGATGACGACACGGAGGCCAATGCTTGACTCGCGGCAAAATTATCCAGTCAGATCGCAGAGAGGGTCAGGGGGGATGTACTTTTTCGAAGTCACGGGTGAGAGGGACAAGATGATGCGGAACAATAAAAAAATCGCACTGTAGACAACTTGAAATGATACTCGGATCGCTTGGATGCAAAAGTTATAAATATAATGTTATAAAATAATGCTCCGCAATTGCCGAATACTCGGGTACATACGGATGAATGTTCTCAATTTCATTATTACGAGTTTGGACATGACGGGAACAGTGAAGTTCCTTCATCGAATTTTGATCTTGCCGGAGGAGAAAAAACTTTTTAGCTTATCCATCTTATTATGCACGGTTTTCATTGTGAAAGGGAAACTGTTAGAGTTCGTGGTCAAAACTAAACCTAGGAAGATACCCTCGCTTTTATAATCCTACTACCTTCACCACCATCACCACCCACACTACCCAACTTATGTCACCCAATTGAGGAACTGGATAAAAAATCAAGATTGTATCACTTAATTACAATGGCTCATACCCCAACTATGAGGGTGCAACTTCAGTGAAAGAGGAATCGAGCTTTCAGTAAGTTACTCGTATTACTTAATGACATCTGGAAATCCAACTATCCATTCACTATCCAGTGTACTTTGCAAGAATACCGCCAGTGCCGATGCTGGTGAAAGATAAACTTACATTATTGGTGTGGGTAAACCGCTGCCAACGCCAGATTACAGGTGTCTGATGGAAAAATTTGGCATGCAATGCTAATTTTAGGGCATTTTTCGGTAGTCAAAAATCTGCACTGAAGGGATTGTTTAACCGCGCTAGAATGGAGTGGTGGAATCACCGGTTATATATGTCACCGGATGGATTTTCTCCGTTTGCAATGTTTGCCGAGGTAAGTGGCAGTTGAAAGAAGATGATGAGTGGTCGAGCGGTGCTGTGGTATAAAGGTTAGCGAACCCGGGTCAGGGGAATTATATATATATATATATATATATATATATATATATATATATATATATATATATATATATATATA